GGGGGGTATAGCTCAGTGGTAGAGCATTTGACTGCAGATCAAGAGGTCTCTGGTTCAACTCCAGATGCCCCCCTTTTCCTGTCTAGAGGCTTTAAGCGTCTATAAAGCTTATATAAAATACTGCAGCTTCTCAATTAACACTACTGCTCTCATTAACGCAATGTAGTAATATCTGATTTAGTCAGATAAACAGTCAAAATTGTCTTGATGGTTTTATATTAAACTCACTGATGGTCAGCATTTTTTGGGCAATCATGCAAACTTAGGCCATATTCACTCTGGAAATACATTGAAAAATGGGGGGTATAGCTCAGTGGTAGAGCATTTGACTGCAGATCAAGAGGTCTCTGGTTCAACTCCAGATGCCCCCTCTTTCTTGTCCAGAGGCTTTAAGTGTGTATAAAATACTAAAGCTTCTCAAAAGAAACTTTGCATTGTACTGCTCTAATTAACACAATGTAGTAATATCTGCTCTTGTCAGATAAACATTCAGAGATGGGTACTCGAGTTTGTTACTCGTGTCACATGTGACTATTTTTTTCTTCAAAATTAAAAAGCTTACCTATCATTACTAATGATCTAAATTGCCTTTTAAACTTTCATTCCTGTAGGCAAACATTTTGTCTAACTTTTCTCAATAATAGTTTTGTGAATTTTGTTTCCTTCCTCCTGACGTCAGTGATGTTGAAGGCCACATAGCTCATACGCTCAGCTATCCTTATTTTAGAAGAGTGATATCAGAGCTGTATAGCGTCCCTTATAAATATTCATTCTGTTGTCATTAATCAACTTTGAAACCTAATTTATGTTATGATATTGATCCCTTTTAGGGATTCAATTTCTGCCAAATCTGCCTTATGATCTTTTTTGTTTGGCACAGTGTAGCCAGATTAATTTAGCAACATGCTACATCACTTGTAATGGTGTTCCCAGGCCTGCAACGTTCCCTTCTTTAAAAAAGACGTTTTTACAACTCACTTCTAGATGTGTTTTGAAATTACAGTAAATCGCAATATAACCTTCCTCCTCTGCAGTTTAGATTATACTGCTGGAATTGTTGAGTAACCCATCCAAATCATAAATCCAGGTGTTCCAAGCTTTTTATTCACGAAATATAGCAACAAGGCATTCAGCTTCTATACAGATTTGTGAAATAGAAGCTTTTCCATTTTTCTATTAATGACTCTGGTCGATGTTCAGCCCTTATCTTTAAAAAAACAGGCAAATGACCTGAAAAAAAGAAAAAAAAAAAGCTTAATAAATTAAGCATGATGCCCATTATTGGATGAACAATTCTACAGTACCAGCTTTGTGGGGGGAATTCGAGTACACACCTGTGTACAAAGCAAGACCCAGACAGTCACTTAAATTGTTCAACACAAAACTTGTTCTAGACAAAACCTGCAGTAACAGGTTTTGTCTAGAACAATTTAAACGGTCTGCAAAGATCCCTGACTCAAATAGGGGTAAGAAAACACCCTAGAGATGAATTAAAGCAGGGATTGCAAGCCATGCAGTCTTATCCAACATCAATGTTTGGTGTCACGCGATGTGCTTCTTGAAGAATGATGAAAAAATACATCTGTGTGAGAAGGCAGATGTGTATTATTTCAATTAAATGGTCCCTGAAGTAGAAAAGAGAGTTCATTTATTTCTGATTAACTGGCTCAGTTCAGAGGCATATTCAGCCTTTTCCTAATTTGCTTTTGCAGAGGAAGGCCAATGTCCTTTCCCAGTCACCCAAAAATAAACTCCTCCTTGAAGTTTTGAAGCAGCGTGACCCTCCTGGCAAATTTAAGGCCACCAGATATCCTCAAGGAGTAGTTGTTGATATCAGAAACACCTGTGTGTTTGCTACGTAGGTGACGGTAAATGACGGACTATGTTGGCTTGAGCGGGAAGAAGAGCACTCTCTGGTCTCATTACAGAAAAGGTCATCATCTCCCATGTTAATGTGGGGCAATAAAAAGAGAACATTAGCTAGCACACAGACAGGCATGCACTCGTACTGTTGAAAGAACATATTTAAATCATGTCATCACTGAGCTAATTGCCTGTTTTTGCTTACAGACCTGCTGTGTGGTGTTGGGTACATTGCCTAAACAGATGCAAATGTGCAAAACCCATCCTGTTCCCTATTGCTTCATAACATGTTTACATCCAACCTTCTTGGAGCCAGGCTCCACTTCCTCTGCGCATTTTTCAGATCTGCAGGTTCTGCTTGTTCTGTTTTTTCTCTGTGTTTTTTTTTTTTTCTGGGAAGGCTGTGAGGAGCATGGGGGATGTGGCGGAAGAACAAGAGATATGTCCGTTATACACTGGTTTACAAGGACATACAAGCAGAAGGTTTTGAAGGGAAGAAATCTATAAGCAGCTTCTAGCTTTGGTAATCAAATGATTTATTATTTAAGGAGATTGGCAAAACAAATAATGCTTTTGGAATAAAAGATAATTCCTTCTTCTTTACATGAAGGTGGAAATATTTGCAGGACAAATCATTAATGGGTGAAAATAAAACCCATTATGTCCCACCTCGGGATATAGGTGTGGCAGCATCATGCTGTGGGGATGCCAGTACTGCAGCAGGGACCAACTTTAAGGGGATATAAATAGTTTTGCACAGCATCAGGACAAAAAGGCCCTACTTTGACCTCATCGCTTCATTAACTATTTATTATTCTGTTACCGATCTGATCATATACAATTGTCTTATGGTCTTTGTTTACATGACCTGATCACTATGTGGTTAAAGTAAAAAGAATAAGGCATCCATTACATGTATTTTATGTTATGCTATGAGTCCACATCATAGCTATCCACAACTATAAAGTTCTGAACCTTTTAAATAATTATGGATATATAAACTATCTTAACATGGCGGACGTTATACAAAAAAACAACGCAGACATTCAGCTTTTTGGTCAAAATTAAATACCTGGATCCTTTGCTGTTTCTTTTTCTTAAAGGAAGATTTGCGCTGATTAAATGTCTTTTGCTTTTTGACACATCTTCCAGTATATTCAGAAAAAGGCAATGAATCACAGCAATTATAATCAATTGTACTTGATTTGTGATTCAGTGTTGAGATGTTTGCTACCTTTCTTATCTCTATAATTCTGCCTTAAGTAAATCTGTTCTCAGACATCAGCATGTTAGTAGACAGTCAGTGTGGATCTAGGATTCACTTTATTAATTTAAATTTAGAAACTGCTCTAATTAGATCCTTTTATCTGAGTAGGAGATGTGTTCTTTTTTTCAAAATTTTGCTGCAGTGAGTAGTTCACTCTTTAAACACTATAGTTTTTTATGTAACATTATGCATTTTAGTTCCAGGCAACTTGAGAGTGTGCAAAGATATACGCTGATCTGGATTTTCAGGTATAAAATAGCACAATGAGACTGATCAACAGAGCTCATAATCTGCTTTTATCATGGGCTGCAAGATACTTTGAATAATGGTATGCTCTTATATTGCATTGCAAGCCTTGTTACAACAAATGTATATATGTGTTGTTAATTAAACAGCTTTATGCCATAAAATATTCACCAGATTATTTTTCCTACTGCAGATCTGGGAACTTTTTTCTCCTAAAGTTAATAACATTGGTTGCATAATATCTGATTAATGTTAGTAAAAAATATATTATGTTAATTACTACAAAATAGAAACATTTTACTGTGAGGGTTAAATAAACCATAGCAGTTATCCGCCATTATCATCATCAGATGCTAAATGACTGTTAAGAGTTTGTGCAGCAACTTAAGGAGCACAGTTGTTGCTTGAGAGAATAAACCCGCAGGCTACTGAATGTTATTTTGTCCGTTGAAACACTTGTCTCTCTTCCTTGGTTGTGTAACTTTGTTTGATAACGATAACAGATTATTTGTAAAGTTGTTTAATTGTTCTATTTTTTTTCTCAACCTTTCATTGTGATCAACATGTGTCTTGCTTTTCCCTTAGGGTCATAAATCTACCACAAAGACAAAAAAGAAAGTTAGTTGCCTTACATCTCAGTTGAGACTGAGATGTAAGGCAGAGACATGGATAGAATGCACAATGATCAATTTATTTTATTGATCTTTACACTTTGAGAAACTACTCCTTTTCCTTCCTGAAGATAATCTTGATGCAACAGGAGTAAACCTAAACCCTTCTCAGCAGTGAACAATTACAAGCAGCTAGAGCGACTGATTTCAATCCCAGCTTTCTCATAATCTGATGAGGAAATGAGCTTGGTCAACTCTTCATCGGTATAGAGTAACTGATGTTACATTACAGAAATGTGATCCGGTTCTGATTGTTTTCTCTTTGAAAATCTTTGGGCTTCACTAAAAGAAGATAAAAAAATGTGTTGGTAGAAGCATTTTTCTGTGACGAATCATAAACTGATTTGAAAGTAAGAAAAGTGTAAAACAGCAGTATCCTGCAGTGCTTTGTGTTGGACTTTCACATAACAATCCATACCAAATAAATAAAATTTGTGTTTATAATCTGACATCAAGCTTTAAGAAGCTTAGGGATGTAACAAGTGGCGAGGAGATGTAACAGCTTTTTGAGGACAGAGGTTAACCTTTTTGTCCACAGGTGTATTCCGTAGATGTATAAAGCTATTGGAAAGGTTTAAGTCAAGTATTTTATTGTATTTTTTTTAATAGCCACTGACACAGATCAAAGATAAAACTTTTATTCTATCCAATAAAACCCAAAAGAACAGCTCAGTATTTTTTCCATCCATGGTCCCTATCTTTTTGGATTTGTTTAAAAAAAAAAAAAGCAAATTCTTTATGCTGCAAATATACTTGCAGATGCCTCATGTTTGCAGCATCAGTATGTGAAATTCCACTGCACAGCTTTATCATCCATCAAAACAATCTGTCATTAACGAGCAAATGACATAAACAACACCCTCAGCCCAACGGAAAGCTGCTTACATAACCTTAAAGGAGCATCAGCCAAAAGACGAAAAAGTGTCCCCACAAGAAGTTCAGCGCTACAAAGATGAATTCAGCAAGTCTCTGTGTAAAATATGTGCTGCATTATTTATTGACAGTGTTACACAATCTCCATCGTCAGCAGCAGAGGTTTTCTTGCTTATGAGGTACAATGATTAATTTAAGTCTCTACAGAAAAGTAAAAACCGAAAACAAAATATACATCCAGAAAAAAAAAAAAAAATCAACTTTAACAAAAATAAACTTAGTACATTTATGTTTATATGTGAACAGGTTTGCAGTAAAAACCACGTACAGTATCAAACATGTATGTGAAAATGATCAATTATATATCATAAAAAAATTGACTTTTTAGTGCAAGGGTTTTACAATATAAAAATACTGTGGTGTAAATGTCTCTCAGTGTAGTGAGAGGGTTAGAGGTGGGTGTCGGCGATGGGGATCCTCCTTAGCTCCACGATCTGGGAGTTGGAGACACTGCCTCCATCCTGGCTTCCAGGTATGGACTCGTTATCGCTCACGTTAAGGCCAGTCCCTGAAACAGATTTAATGGCGTATATGAAGACCTGATTATCTGCAAAGTGTCTCAATCACCTGACCCTGACCGCCCCCATGTGCATACTGCATGAGTTGAAAAAAAACATATTTCTGTCTCGTTGGTTTAGTATGTACCTGTTGAACCGCCGTGATGTTAAGTAACATAACTCTTATCACTGAGTTTACTGTACCTGAGGAGTCATAGTAACAAGACGAGAATAGAGCAGACAGACGGACCCAGATTAAGCACTAAGTGACTCTTTTTATGTGAAAAGATAAGTCAACTTGTTGGCTTGCTGGTAAAACATTGACAAATTGAGCAATAAACTGGTGTATATGGTGCTGTCCACAGCAATTCTATAAAAAAATGTTTTTTTTAATTGAAATTAACTTATTCAAGGTAATTTAAAGACTAACTATTAAATGCAGAAATGCTTTATATTCTAACTTCAAGTTAACATTGGTGTACAACATATGAGCAATATGTTTTGTACCAAATTTATTCACCTTATGAAGTAAAACGGTTTCAGAAGTTTTCTAAAAAGCTAAGGTGTTTTTTTAAAGTTAGTGAAAAACAAACTGTACCAACTTTACCAATAATATGAGTTTTCATTACATATTTTTCATCTTTGCACAATATTTTAAAAAGTTTAGTGAGAAAGTCACACAGTTCTCAGTTAAACTTTAACAAAAGTTTTAGGAGCTAAAGGCAGGGTTTGGCAGACAAAGTTCCATCATGGTGGTCATCATCATCATCCTCATCATCCTCATCATCATCATCATCATCAGCTATTATAAGAATAATAATAAAAGAAATAATGGGTGTGGAGGCCTAGTGGTTAGGGCATTCTGAGTTAAAGCCCCACTCCCACAGACTGTCACTCTGGGTCCCTGAACAAGACCCTTAACCCCACACTGCTCCCAGGGCACCGCACTGTTGAAGCCCACTGCTTTCCAAAGGGATGGGTTAAATGCAGATTGAATTTCATTGCTTTGCACTTGGGACAGTGTAATGACAATTATGTTGTATTAAATTCTAAAAGCTGCCAGTCAACTAAATCTTAAATAACTTTTGTGTTATTTGCAAATTTAGTAAATAAGAAGAGGAGAGCCCTTATGTTGTGTATTTTTAAATGCTATAAAGATATAATTGATCTCGATCTTAGTTGTTCTACCCTGATAGAGAAATTTTAAAACAGCAGTTTGAGTTTCAAAACCTATTATTCTATTGGAAAGGAAAGTAAATGATAAAAAAGAAACCAATTAAATGCAATATAAAGACTGGTAAAAAAAACTAGCATGGTTAAACACATATTGACCGTATTAAAACTGCAATATGTGGCAAGTCCTTTCATGGATATATGGAAGTACATGCAGGATTTCCCACTGTTGACAGTGTACGTGTGAAGCTCTGTGTTTGCATGTTAATGGTTTACTACCAAATGAAGTGTCTGAAAACCCTTATTACAGCTCTGCTTACTGACCCCGGCCTGGTGTCGCCTGTTATATAAACCCGATTATCTTTCCTTCTAACAGAGTTTGTTGAGATGAGCTGAACGTGTATGTTCAATGCGACACGTCTAAATGCATATAGGGGTGGGGTCAGTGGGTTAAGATTACATGGAGGAATGCTGATATGACTGGAATATATACAACTGATTAAGTTTATATCATAACTTCAGAAGAGCCGGTAACCTCTGAAAAACAGAAAATAGGAATCCATAGCCTTGTTGTTTAGTAGTTGATAATTTTTCCTAAAACGCTGGTGTTCAACAGAAATCCAGCGAAGGGCGGGATGTTCTCAAGATTAGGAAATACTCAGAGATGACAGTGAAAAACATCTCTTTCTGTCTGCACACAATAACCAGGAGGGTTGGAGTCTGCCTGTTTTTCACTGGCTGTAAAACTATCCTCTGACCCTTCTTGACTTATTAACACCCATAGGTCTCTAAAACCCAACACCTATCACCAAGGACTTCTAATTTGACTATCCCCATAGTTACAGGTGTCATTTTTCAGATGTAGGATAGCTGGTCTCAAACAAGCTAAAACCTTAAGTATAGTTAAATAAATAAAAATAGATTGTTCAAAAACATTGCGTTCAAAAGTGGAGCTCAAGGTTTAAGCAGTAACGTGAAAAACTAAATAATTTCTCTTCAACACAATCTGACAAAGACAATGGAATCAATAAAAACTATGATTGGTGTGTTTATTTGCACCTGTTAGGGGCTGCTTCCTCGCCAGATGATTGGGCCTAATATTCTCTCTCAGAGCATCCGCATAAATAAAAGAGATGGGATCTCAGCATTCTAAAAACTGAAATTCTTTAAACCACAATTTGGTAATTTCTAGCTTGATTGAGCATGGTGTCAAAAAACAAAAATGGATAAAGAAGCTGCTAAAACATCTGAAGCTGTAGATAAGCTGAAAGCAGACATTGGTCAACAAGCTAATGAATTTTAAGCCATGCTTAAATGAAAATGACTCCCCATTGGTCAGGTTCCCGTCCAGACATTAAAATCAAACATGCCGCAGCAACAAAGATAATTTCAGGAGAGACAGAAAAAATCTCTTTCCAACAGATGACCTTCAAATCCTCAAGCTGCTGATTTGTTCCATGTTTGTTAAAAACATTGCTCACAGATACATCCTGCAAAGCATCACAATGATTAGAGATGTGCATTAGTGCTTGCTTGTTGTGCCCTGAGCTCAGTGAACAACAGTTTCCATGGTATCAGAGAAGTATTAAAGTCAGCAGAGGAATACAGATCAGAGCTCTTTCTAATAGATTAATCGATGGAACAGATAGTGTGAGCTTGGCAAGGAGGAGGAATTACAAGGTGCTAATCATTTGGGCACTTAATTACATATTCTTAATAAACAACAATTGAAGAAACAATTTCTTAAAGCATATCTAAGTATTTTTCAGGAGAAAGTTAAACATATTTACTTCCAGATTTTTTTTGTAACCTAAATTGATGCATAAATCAGTTACTTCTGCTTAAAGGTGCCTAATCATTTACTATGGCTCTTAAAAAAAAAACTATATGCCCATGTAAAAATAAAAAATACACCAGAGAATCCTCCTGATCGTGTTTACTTAGTGGTTTTTTTAGTCTGAAATAATTTTTGCACCGGGATTGAACAGCAGGCAAACCTTATTCTGTGTCGTCACCATCTGCTGGCAACACTTACTCATGCATCCATCAGGAGGCAGGTTATGCTGTTTAAGCTCCTGCTTTACCAAATCTAGCATTCATAAATTATTCCGAGCCAGACTCATGCCTTATTCAATCATCCAATATTCTTTTGTACCTTTTGATACTTTTCTTCTTTCTTGCTTGGCTTCCTTATTTTCTTGTTTGCCAGCATGTGCAATAACTAAAAGACTGTGTGGTTTTATTATAGTAAATTGCATCTATTGAAAGTAAATTTAAAAAAAGGAACCTCAAGTGAAAAAATCAAGGCTATAAGGGACCTTCTTGCAGTGCTTTGGAAAAGTATGGACGAGTAAAGAAACCAAGGTAACTCTGGAGGAGCTGCAAAGAAATCTGCGGTCAGGATACCATTTTGTAATGCAAAATCAAAGCCACTGATGGATAAAGCCAAGGTTTATTTGCAGTTTATCACAAACAAATTATGGGCACAGCTAGAAGATCTTCTGGTCAGATGATACCAAAGTAAATATATCTGGCCTACCGGCAAAATCCTTTGAGAAGAAAGCTAATAATTCACATTAGAATGAACACAATGTCTGCACAGTGAGACATGGTGAATTAGGGAGACTGATGGAGCTAAATACAAGAAAATAAACAGTTCGAAAGACTTTTGGCTGAGCAAGAGGCTAACCTGCCAGTAGGACACTTTAGATCAAAACTTGAAAGTTAAAGTTTACACATGTTCCCCACTCTGTTTGATAGAACTTGAGCAATAAATGTAGTAGAATAGGCAAACAATTTAGTCCTCTGACATGTAAAGATTAAAACCCAAATCACTTTAAAATGTAATTAGGGCAACAGGTTGCTCTAATCACAGCTGAAAGTTGGAAGGGTAACTCCATCTAAAAAGACTCAAGACGTATGAATAATTTAGCGAGGTACTTTAAATTCCCAGTTTAGGACAATTTACGAAACCTTTAAATATTCTGCGACCTCATCATAAAGAATCTGGAAGAAGGTTCAATGTTGGGTAAGTAAATGCTATATTAGTGTTATCTACATACAAACGTCGATAAAAATAATAAGCAGTGTTGACTTTCAGTATTTGGGGGAAAAATTGATGAGTTGCAGACAGAAGAAATTTAAGAATAGATAATAATCCTCACCAGTTTTTAAGGCAAAGATGAGGTCATCAAATTCCTGCGACTCTTCATCTGTGGTCACCAGGTTGGTGTTGATGAAGCTCCCCTCTGTGGTGAACGTTTCCATCACAGGGCTTGGCTTAAACGCACTGGCAGGCTGAATACTGGTCCGCAGAGATGATCGCTCCCAGTCTGCTGAAATCTAAAAAAAAAAAAACAACACTATCACATTTTCTACCTTCAATAAATACTTAGACTAGTGCTGGCATTAGTAAGGAGTTTTAAAAGATTTTTTTTTTACTTTAATTACAGTAGAATAATCTTATACCGAAGATTTAAGACAAATCAGATTTAGTTTGGAGAAACATGTCCCATGGTAAAAATTTATTGATTTATCAGTGCTAAAATAATAAGTTGCTTTTACTAAAGGACAAAAACTCATTTGTTGAGACTTTCGATTTAAACCATTACGTGAAACTTTCTTAGTTAAACCTTGTAGTCAAACTTTATTTAACTGCCTCTACAATGCCAGTGTTATGCATGATTGTCTGTGTTTTTTTTTATGTTTTGCTGATGTACAGCACTTTAAACTGTCTTAATACTGAGATGTGGTTTACAAAATAACTTGCTTTGCCTTTTGTGATTCAGGACTTTCTACTTCCATAGAGTAGAAACGTGACATGACATAAAAATACATTGATTTTTATTCTTTAAAATGGGAAAAGACTATGGAACATGGCATTTACCTAAAGCAGAACGTCTTCTAATCTCAAACAAGAGGAAAATACAATAGGTCTGAAGCAATGGTAATGTGAGAAACGACACTGGACAAACAGGTTTATCTTGTGAGTACATTCAGTGAGTAGGATGTTGAGGGAGGTAAAGCAAATTTACATACAACTACTCATATAATAGTAACTAAAGTAATGTATGGTCATGTGGCCTCACACCCACTGTTAAGTATGGATCAGTGATGTCATGGGTCTGGTTCTCTTTTAGAGATTTTAGTAAGAATACATGACAAAATGAACCTTTGGAAACTGAAGAACCTTTTATAAAATGTCTAAAAGTCTCTGCAAGAAAAAATAGATAAATAAAAGGGTTTTCTCTTTTTCCGTCAAAATTCAGTTTGTTTATTTTCACTTTCAGATTTGTAATTCAGTTTCAATTTGATTTAGTTTTTTTGTGTGTCAGACCTCCAAGTCTTTTAGCCACAGAGCAACCAAGCAGACTCACCATTTTACTTTTCTCAGGTTAAACATATTTCAGTATTTTTCAGCTGAAGCTGTGGAGCATATATACGCTTGGCTAAAGTTAAACGAGAAAAATGATGGGATAATTATAATATATCTGCTACACAGAGCTATTAGCTAAATTGTGTTTTGTGCTGCCAGTGTTATGTCATCCTATGTTTCCCCATTGATATGTTTGACATGATTATTGACTTCTGCAAAGCTCATGAATGCTCCCTGAGCCTGGAAGGTGTTTAGCTCCTAACCAATAATTAAAGTTTACTGAATACATGTTGAAACCAAAGCATTGAAATTCAAATTAAACAAATTTCTTATCTTTGTAAGATATTTATAACATGTTTTTGATAAAAAGTTATATAAATACAAAAATTGTACTCTAGCTGATGTGGTAACAGAAATAAATACGAAGCAAGTGTACGAGTCTCATTATAGCTACATCTGTCAAGTGTGTAATTCTGAATGTGATGAGTGAGGGTCACACAGAGTACAGGCTAGGCGACGCACAGGGTCAGAGCGTGTCCACAGGGTGAGTAAGCTCACTGGGTTTAGGGTTTCATGGTGAATCCAAGCACCATGACAAACCAACTTCTCTAGCACAGTGTGGCGAAAATAAGCATTTAATTGGATGCGTTAATATAGCAAAAGACACAATCGAAAATAGTTATGAGGCATTGAAGCATTTTTTTTCTTCTGACTAAAGCGTATTTTAGTTTAATCTTCATCAGATGACTCCTTCCATCTTGTTTAACTGTGATCCTTCCAAATGCCTAATTTGACCATGTCTGCGTGAGTACGTGTTGGACAAGACTGTAAGCCTTGCTGGGCTCTGACTGGTACACCCTCCAACACAGCCACACACACGAGGTGATTTAAGCACCACCAGGCACCACAAATGAATTATATTAACTTTAATGGAGAAAATGAGTTGATGTCTGCATTTTTTTTTTGTTCAGACATGATTTATCCATAATCCCTTATTCTTATTGCTTTGTGTCTGTCTATCAGTTTGTGAAACAGGGAGTCATGGGACCTTTCCACTGAAGGCATGCTTGCCTGCTCTGTTTTTTCTGACCATGCCTTGCTTAAATCTCAGGAGGGCCGAGTGTGCTCTCAAGAATAAAATGTGATTATGTGAGGAGGGGGTGACTGAAAAAGAAAAAAGGGAGGAGAGGGTTCCCAGGAGTCGCGTCTCACCCCGCCCCTTATTTTTCGCTTCATATCTCCTTATAGGGTATTCTCTTGGGAAAAGTTGCTGAGGAGTTACCACAGAAGTGCTACACTCCTGTGTGTGAACAGAGTGTTTTTACATGGGCTCATGTGCAATGTGCCAGTCTGATAGAAAGGTCACAGGGGGATTTGATGTGGGAGTCAGGAAGACACACAATTCAGCATGTACAAACTACAACAAAGTGAGAGGCCATGGGAAGGGAGAGTTTGAGTAAGGAAGGACAAAATGATGCTGAACGATAAGGAAATGGCATCATAGGAAAATAAAAACCGACCATGAGAAAACAAGACAAGAGTATTTAGGAGGAATTTAGAACAAAAAAGGAAACTGTCTTCCTAGAATGAATGAAAGCAAGGCCAGAGGCCCCCACTTTAACATCTGAAGCGAAATAAAGATGAGGTTGATAGAAAGATTTTCCAACCTCATGAAGGATGAGGAGCTAATCTGAAATTATTAAATAGTTAACATAAACAGATAAGAGTCCTTGTCCAGTCTAGAGAATGGTGGCTAAAACATGGGCCTGTCTGAATTTAACTAGAATTTTGCACACACAAAAAAAATCTGCTAACCTCAAAAGTAAAAAAATAAGAAATAATAAAAACAGTAAAGAAATGTTCCAGTTACATGTACCTTAAAGGGATGGTCAGGCGATATTGTTAAAAAAAGTAATTACCTATTTTTTTTTTCTCAAAACTGAACAAATAACTCAGGTTAATTGCTATTTTCATATATATTATTAGTAAAAGCCTATACTATTGCAATAGATCAGATTAATTTACCCTAAGCCTTTTTACCCATATTTTCAAGAGTTGCCAATTTATGTGAATGGCACTAAGTGGTTTTATCCATTTAGGATGACAGATTAAGCTCTGCATACCTCCTCCATGGCGCTGATGAGATTCTGTGTTGATTTGCTTATATCACTTCCTACAGTCGTTGGTCCCCCTGCTTGAAAGGTTGAGTCAGGGCGGTCATTACCATTCATCTCTACGGTGTAACTCGCTTTAGTCGGCCAACACAGCTGGTTGTGCATGATGAAGTACGCTGCAAACACATACAAGCCCTGAAAAGAAAAAAGATGAGGATCAACGTAGGGAAAGGAGATGTTTGCACCTTTCAAAGAAAATTTTGTCTCTAGTTTGTAACTGTTCAACAAAAATACATTAACGACATCAATGCAATGATTAATAATTATAATACACACACAAATTTTCAGCCGAATCATCCAGGGATACTTCATCCATTAGCAATGACATCATTCCCTCTATCACCCTCTTTTCATGACCGAAACTTTCTCAGACAACAACACCGGGCTGGGAATTACACAGAGACACCAGGCTGCCAAATACAACAAGTCTTTCCGGCATTTCGCAACACCTATCAGGAGGTAATGACTAAGAGGGTCACAACATTACAGAACATAAACTGTGAAGGTGTGTAAATCTCTAACTTTCATAGTAGATATTGTTGTTACAAATATCTATCTTAAGAAAAATGCTTAAATGTTTTACGAATGATCAAAACTGCAATAAAACTGAGAAAGACAACAACAGACAGAGTAGAGCTGAGACTCAGCATATACACACGTGGTGAAAATATAATGTACCCCTCGTTTTATCCAGGAACAGCCTACAATGGTAGCAGAAATAAATGGAATCTGAAAAAGTAATGATTAAAAAGAAATCTCTGATAATGAACAAATCAAAGTCAGACATTGCTTTTCAATCATACATTAAAAGAATGATTCAAAAAAATAAACTCTTGAAACAGACAGGGACAGAAATGATGATACCCCTAGAAAACACAAGAATGTGACCAAATGTTAAATCCAGGTGAGTCCACTAATTAGCATCACAGGTGTCTACAATGTTATAGTCAGTCGATATATCTAGGGCTACAGGTAGCACTGTGTCGTTTGGTGAAATGGTGTGTACCACACTCAACATGGACCAGAAGAAATTATGAAAAGAGTTGTCTCGGGAAACTACAAATGAAATGATAAACAAGCATGTTGAAGGTAAAGGCTAAAAGGCCATCTCCAAGCAGCTTGAAATCCTGTGACTAGAGTTGAACATATAATTTAGAAATTTAAGATCCATAGGACATTAGCCATCTCCCCGGAACGTGAAACATGAATGCCAAATGGCCTGTACTTATATAGTGCTTATTCAAGTCAAAAGACTTGACCAAAGTGCTTTTCATTACATTCAATCATTCACCCATTCATGCACACACTGATGGTGGTAAGCTACCTTGTAGCAACAGCTGCACTGGAGCTCACTGACAAAAGCGAGGCTGCCGTAAACTGGCGCCACCCGGCCCTCTGACCACCAGAGGACAAAAGACACTAAAAGCTGGAGCTTGATCGGTTAACATTTCGGTTTCAGGGCAAACTCCTGCATCCGGCACCACTCGTTGCCCAGAAAAACTTCTAAAGAGATTATAGGTGAACTTGAAGCTCAAGGATCATCAGTGACAGATCACACCATCCGTGGTTGTTTGAGCCAAACCTGACTTAATGGCAGATGACCAGAGACACTATTGTTGAAAACAACAAACTAAAAACTATAAATGCCAGACTAAAATTTGCCAAACTACATGTTGACCGGCCACAATCCTTCTAGGAGAATGTACTAAGGACAGATGAAACAAAAAAGACTTTTTGCCATGCATATCAGCTTAATGTCAACAGAGTGAAAAATGACACATATCAAGAAAAGAATACTTTCCTGACTGTGAATCATTGATGTATTATGTTCAGGACTGCTTTACTTGATATGACATCGGGTGTCTTGATCTCTGACACAGACTATTCTGAAATGGCATTTTATGATCCATTATCTTAATCCAACTGAGCATCTCTGGATGGAGCTTCTCCTGCATATCGAGAGGAGTGAACTAAAGTGGCTCAGGCCATAAATTGCATGGATGCCTTCCTCGGGAGGTGTTCTAGGAAGGAGGCCGAGGGGACAACAGAGGACCCACTGGAGGGACAATGTCTCATGGAAGAAGTTTCTAAGAAGAAGGAAGTCTAGGAATCGCTGCTGACACTGATGCTCCCGCGACCCACTCCAAGATGAAGAAGTTGACAAAGAATATGGGGGAGTGGTTGCCTAGGGGTCAGAGCATTGTGCTTGGTCCTAGAGGTTCTCAGTTCAAGACCCGCAGACTGCCTCTATGGCTCCCTGAGCAAGACCCTAAACCCAAGACTACTACCAGGGAGCCAACAGTGGTAGCCCCCTGCTCCCCAAGTGGATGGGTTAAATGCACAGAGTTTATTTCCCATTGTGGGACAATAAAGAGATTTACATTTTGAGCAGCTGAAACATGATGTCTGGAAAAAGCACCCTTCCAACCTGAGACAACTGGAGCAGTTTGCTCATTAGGAGTGGGCCAAAGTACCTGCTTAGAGGAGTAGATGCCTCACTGACTATTTCAGGAATCATTTGATTGCAGTGATTGCCTCAAAAGCCAGTACAACAAAATATTAGGTTATGGGTATTGTCATTTTTGTCCAGGCATGTTTCATGGGTTTATTTTTGAAAACCATTCTATTGTAGCATGGTTGAAAGGAATGTCTGACTTTTATGTCTTGATTTTCATAAAATCTTTAATGATTATTTGTACTGTCAAATATTTGTGATCGTGGTGAGCTTTTCTTTAATTAAATGAAGGGTGATACAGTCATGATGGTTTTTTCCCCCCGCTGTTGTATGTACATTTTTCAGATGGTGGACATGCTGTGATGATTAATCTCAGTGAAAAGGGCAGTTACACCAATGCAACCAGTACGAAATATACATCTGGAACTGTGACCTCAGCTGCCACACAAGGTAGTCAAAGTAATAGTTCTTCCCTGGATGTTTTGGATGCAGAATTATAAACAACATGGTTAGTTATGATTAGTAGTCCCAAAAAAAGAACAATAACCTTAACTGGAAAGTGCTAATTAATGAGCACCTGGTGAAACTGCTGCAAAACAGTCAACAGATGTAAAAACATATCTCACAGATCTCACAGGTCATTACGAGTTTAAAAGTGCTGTCTTAAGTTGAAAAAGATTATAGTTGGGAATATTAAAATAGGATATATGGTGTTCCTTTGGGAGAGGTTTATTTATATAAAACAGTTTATCGTAACATCTTTGACCTTAGCAGGAAGAGCGTGTACTCCCCTGCAATGCAATGGGTTTAATACAACACATTATGCTTTATACCCGTTAAACATAAAAATTTGCCCACTTATTTGAATCTATATGACACATACAGCACCAAGTCTGCTAATTCATGTTGCTATCTATATGTGGGTGATTAGCATAGATCATTAGTAAGCTGTTTAGCCTGAGGAACAGGCTTTACAACCATAGGCCTGTTACATAAGTGTTCCTGATTACAGAAGAGACTTCAGAGGTGGAAAGCAGATTCCTGAGCAGAGGACAGAGGAGGTGTTGAAGAAATAAATAAGGAACAGGAAAATAAATATTTGAGAGAGGGAATAAAGACAAAGTGGTATAGCAATGAAATACTATTTATAGAAGGGGGGCTGAAAAAGATTATCTTAGGGCTTTTTCAACAGCTGGCACTTTTCAATGTTTTTTTAAGTTTCACAAACACTTTTTTTTAACATGTAACAGCTTCCCAACCCTCCTCCACGTCACAAGTCAATGGCTACACAATACATATCACAGATTGCTCAATATCTTCTCACCAAGTTTAGGGAAAAGGGCACATATAATGTTAAGTATTAGCAGGATAGTCACTAGCAGTATTAATAATAATAATACATAGTCCCATATCCTAATCTATCAATACTCCTTTCCAGGAGTATTGATAGATTAGTCCCCCCAACCACAGGTCAGATGTGGGCACTGAGTCTTTCTTTCAACCTCTTAAAATCAGTCTTTAACGCCATACAAAACAAAAACAGCTATTTTAATACATTTATTGACTTATAAAACACTGGGGGTCCCAATAATGGCAACAAGTGAATCTGGTCGGCCAGTGTTTGCCCAACATAATAAAAAAAAAGTTAGATTCCCTTCCAAAATTAGCGAAGCTAGTCCCATGACCGAAAGGAGTATGTAAAGTAGCCTATAGCAGCCTTACTGCAGTAGAGACTGGAGACAGACTTCAATATTCTAAAGGTATTTTAGATGGTAGACTCAAAAAATGCCAAATATTTAATTACAAATCTGTGTTTACTGTATATCAAACCTCACTGTTTGTAGATCCAACTTTTGAAATTTCAGCTGCATCACTTAAGTAGAATGCCTCTGTCAGCTTTGCACATTTCTCTCTACTTAATAGCTCATGTTCAGTCAGACTGGATAGACGAAGAGTTTTTAAATTGTTTTTACCAAGTCGAGTCATAGATTCTCAATTCATTTGGCACTGACAAACTTTTCTATTCCTGCAATGACAGTTTCCTGTTACACAAGACATTTTTACTGCAGGCCTCAATCTCATCTGATCAGAGCCCTTCCTCCAATACATCTGGTCTCTCATTATATTTGCCCAACATTAAACCTCTTCGGTCTCCCAGAGTCTTTCTCTGATTTATGCCCTTCTTTTATGATGTGTCAGTTTAGGTATAAGGCAAATATCTCTATAGGGACTGTGCACTTTTTCATTTTCTGACTAGGGCTGAACAGTACAACAGAGATGTTTTAGACATTATGTGATAGTATAACCTTGCTTTAAACTCCTGCTGTTCTGTTGGCCATGATATTTTTCATAATGCTTTTTGTCCAATTATCTTATTTACTAAATCAATGAGCAGCTGAATTTCTTACGGGGTTAAATTATTTAGATATGGTCTCCACTTAGTGATTAGCTAATTGTTGGCAAGGAATATTATTTGTTGCTATAAGAGTAAAGAGGAATGTAAACGAACGCATTTTTGATAAAAAATTCTAAAAAAAAAAAAGAAAGATAATTTGCTGGTTTATCCCATAAAACTCAATACAACTGAAACACATAACATTTGTAATTTCTATGTGACAAAATGTGAAATACTTTGAGAGGTGCTACAAAAACAACCAAAAAGAGCCTTTACTGAACTGAT